TTTTTTTTTTTTTTGACAAAAACACTATTAGTTAGTTTTCTCGTTTTTTCGTTTTTCCTTTCATTGGTTGATTAATTGATTGGTGGGGGGGGCGCCCCACCCCTCACACACACACACACACACACACACACACACACACACGCGCATGTAGGAATGTATATTTCGCTGTTGTAGCAGAAGATTCAATCGATTTTGCTCATCCTATCGATGGAAAACTCTCTCTCTCTCACACACACACACACACACACACACACACACACGCGCGTGCGTGCGCACATGCAGCAATGTATATTTGGCTGTTCTAGTGGAATATTCAATCTATTTTGCTCATCCTATGGATGGAAGTTGCATGAGGAAAGCTGCGGGGTTCGAGACTTATCTGTTGGCAGGTCCGTTGCTCATCCTATCGATGGAAAACTCTCTCTCTCTCTCTCTCTCTCTCTCTCTCTCTCACACACACACACACACACACACACACACACACACACACACACACACATACACACAGATACTAATCGTCCTTGCAAAATAACAGTACTATTTATTTATTTATTTTTTTCATTTCTTGTTTTGTTTCCTTATTACCAAAAAAAAAAAACAAAAAAAAAAAACATATAATCGAAGAAGACAACGAACTGCCCACAAAAAATTTCTTCTCTCCGTCTTTTCTGTTTTTTATTTTTTATAATTCCAAAGAATTCATTGTTTCCCTAGGCTACCAGGGGCGAGGTCCCACTAGCAACGGGATAGGATAGAAACCAGTTTGTGGGGCAGTTGAGTGACCCAAATCCTGCCGTGCACTACTCGTGATCCCACCGTCAGTATTTTACATGTATTACCCGGAAAAATAAGGAGATCTTCGTTCCCCTCCTCCTCTCCTTAATACTGGGCATGCCCGTGCAAAGACAGCTTCCCGCCAGAATCTTTTCAATCGGTTGGGGGTGTGGCCAACCCCAGACGAGGTTGGGGTGGCCAACCCCAGACGAGGTTGGGGTCGGCCTTAGCCCACTGGATAGAAGATTTTCAGCATTTTACTTGCTGTTGTGCAATTATCTCATTGGGTGGAGCCCTCCTTGAATCACGGAGTATATGGAGGGTGTCAGGATCACTGCTGTCAGAAGTCGATTTTATTCCAAAAAAATGTGGCGGTTACTTTGTTCAGTGTTTTTGCAACCACCGCCATCAGATCATTTGTGATCTGATGGCTGGGAAGCACTCTGCCGTGATTTCCAGTGGGAGGTATCTGTGTCCTTTTTTTTTTTGGCCTTTTTCCTGTTTTCTCAGCCCAGAAATTCGTAATGAACGTGTCACACCGGATCGGCCACACTCCTATCCGACTGCTAATGGGACCTCGCCCCAGAGTGGCCCGGGGTCACTTGCCCGGCCGAGCCAAAAAAAATAAAAATAATTTAAAAATATATATGTTTTTAATTTTATTTTTTATTCTAAATTTGGTTAAGAATTGCGATGCGACCCTGAGGCAAAAGTTGTCAAGTGATTTTTCTGCATAACATAGGTTTTTTTTGGTTTTTTGTTTTCTTTTTTCTTTTTTTTTTTTGCTGGGACCTTCTCTGGTCCTTGCACGGGCTGACCACCCAGGACCCGGGCGGCCCGGCTGGTAGCCTAGTTGTTTCCTTAAAAAAATATATGGGGTTGTAGGGTTTGAAAAACCCTACAACCCCATATTTTTTTTAATTTGTTTTGTCTATAAGTTTTTACAGGAAAAATCTATGAAAAACGTGGCTGCAGTGCCGCCGACCCCAGCCGCGGATGCGGCCATGAACATGGCCGCCCTCCAAGCCCGACCCCGCGGCCGCGGCCGCTGGGGTGGTTGCCACGGAATGGTGCATGAAAGTGTAGAACAAGTGATATGCGTCGAAACCTCTGCGGAAGTTTCTACAACACTGGGATGGATTTCCGGACCTGCGTCGAGTTCATGAACGGCAACAACAACCGCCAGAATTGACATTTTCATCTTTCTTTCTTTGACTGCACCCTTATGATTCTCTTTTGGGTTTTATTTCTTTCTTTTGTTTTCCTTTTTAGTTTTAAATTCTTGTTTACTTTTCTGTTGGACCTTTTGTAAGCTAGGCTTGCTTTTTCGTTACAGTTTACTGTTTTGTTGCTTATACAATTGTTTTGCTTGCTGCTCTTCGATGATAACTTAAGGATTGTAGGTTTGTACTTTTGTGGTGTTATAGGTTTGTAGCTTTGTATTAGCTTTGTATTAGCAGATGGAAATTGGAAGTGGTTAAAACACTGGGGTGATGCACTGTGCCTGGGGGAGATTGGGCATAGGAGAACAGTGTATGAAGCTGGCCCGGTTGCTTGTACTGCAGCCACAGATTGCTGGTTACAACACATTTCTGATGTTGCTCCCCAGAATGGCAGGAGCCAGAACCGAGAGGTTCTGTTCTTTCAAAAAAAAAAAAAAAAAAAAAAGGTGGGCCCTCTGACCAGGAGCATGTCTTACAAAAAAAAAAAAAAAGGTGGGCCCTCTGGCCTAGGCGGATGATGCTTTGTCCAGAGGTTTCACCGTTCTCTTTTGTCAGGGACGCCGCTCTGCCCGGACGCCGGGGGCGGTTCCCGGCTTTGTTAAAATTTCCTTTCGAGTTAAAAAAAAAAAAAGTTGTTCAGTTTGTTTTTCTGCATAACATAATTTGTTTTTCAGAACTTTCAGATTTTTTTAATTTTACTTTTTGGCTGGGACCTTCTATGGTCCTAGCACGGCCGGGCAGCCCGGGCAAACAAGGTGACCCAGGCGGCCCAGCTGGTAGCCTAGCCCGTTGGGCATTTTCTCCTTTTTTTTTTGTGTCCCCCTCTGACACGCGAACGCACACACTTCTACCGTTGGCTGAACAGCTTTGGCCCTGGAAACTATGTGTTACTACCGGTAGATACGACAACTGAGGCGGATTCGATTAATCTAGAGAGTTTGTACATCTCACAATGGTCCCCGTTTCTCAACACGAGTGGAGTTAAAAGACATGGGGCAAGGAAGATCCGAGGGAGGAAGGGCAGAGCGGAGAAAAGGAGGGGGAAGGAAGAACGGGGGAGCGAACACAGGGAGTTATTGCACCAGTTAGATGCAGAGACGAGGGTACTTGGTTTTCGGACCTTTTGAAGGTGTTTGATAGATATGAATCGAGAGGTGTACACACATTCACCACCGAATCTAGTGGGGGTAACACTTGGCACCCGAAGTGGAAAAAGGTGAGGAAAGCCTATGGGGAATCGACTGTGAGATTTGGCAATAAGACTGATGCGCTGAAGACCTGTAAAGCTAACTTCGAGTTAGGGGGACAGGTGACAGTTGTGCATTTGAGGAAGTGGAAGCCTAAATGCGGATTTCTGAAACAGATGCCCATTGGTATTTTGAGGAATCCGAGTAAGCTCAGCGAAATCTATGGCTGGAATCTGAAAGCAGCTGTGCGGCTGTACAACGTGATCCACGACTTCAGCAAGAAGTCAACCAGGAAATACCTGCGTCGCCTTGTATCACGAGTAGTAAGGGAGCGTTTTGGTTTGAATATGTCTGCGGATTTGGTGGTGAAGACGAAATTCGATGACAGAATCAAATTAGTGGAAATACGGAAGACGATCAATGACTGCATCACATCCAGTAAGTTACCAGACGGTTTTAGGAACCGGGCACGGAAGAAGGTCAAAATCGTGCAGACCAAGAATCTGACGATAGGTGACCTATTGCATAACCAACGAGCCTATGCGGCTCGAGAGGTGCTTACCTGCCAATGTGCAGGTATGCCCTACCCCCGAGTGGGAGGGCACGTGCGGTTCCGATTTAGAGAAGGAGACGACCGACATGTCCGTTTGGCGAATGCCAACGACATACCCAGAGCAGCTTTGACTGACAGGGTAACACTGCTTAGGCAGGAAGTGAACGACAGCTTTGCTAATTGGTGCAATTTCAGAGGCGAACCGCCGGTAGTGAGTACCGATAGTTTGGCAAGTTGTATCACTATTTCTAACGATGTGAGCGAGAGATTAAAACTAGGTGAGGTCGATGCAGTGAAGAAGGAATTGAAGGGTCTGGTTCTGACACCGCTGGACAGGAATCCGGGGGAGACACTGGCGATGTGTCCAGTAGTTTACCATCAAGCGATGATGCACACCTTTGTAAGGAGCCCGGGTTATCGAGTAATGGGGACACCGGAGAAGATTGTTCATAAGGAAATCTGGGAGGATCTGGTGGAGATGGGCCTGAAGGGATTCGTTAAGTGGGATAGAAAGGGCGAATTTGGCAAATCCTATGTGCTCCCTAAGCACAAGGATCTTGACAGATATTGCCCCATCTGCCCCACCTATAACGAGCCTATGGTGAAGACGGGTAAGCTGGTGGCGAAGGCACTAAATCACTTGCTGTTTTCTTTACCGAAGGACAGCCATTTTAACATGCAGGCAGTCGAGCACATGGCTCAGAGATTGGGAAGGATCAATAAGATTCTAGCTAGCTCTGATAACATGGGGAGGGTGGAAGTGATGTCCTATGACATCAAAGAAATGTTCAGTAAACTAACGCATGACCAGATCATGAAAGCACTCGAGTGGATTGTGCTCTTTCATCAGGAGAAGGGGAGGACTTTTGTGAGGGTTAACCCGAGAGGTAGAGGCTGCTCTTTTGGGATGACGACAGGTGGCGACGGGTGGAGACGGCTGGATCTAAAACTCATGATGAAGTTCGTGCAATTAGAGCTCCGGCACACCTATACCTATGCTACAGGATTGCTTTTGAGGCAAGACATAGGGATACCGATGGGCAAATCGACGAGCCCTCCCTTAGCCTGTATATTATGCGCATACGCAGAGCATAACTTCATCAGACGTCTGGGGAGATGGAGACAGCGAGTTTTTGGATTACGCCTGATGGATGATGTGACCTTGATCCTGGGATCCCTACCGGGAGACATCAAGGAAGATATTCGGAGTAATTTCGAGAACTGCTACCCCAAGAACTTAGTCCTGAAACGTACGGACGAAGGTCGGGGTAAACTGGACTTCCTTGGCTGGGAAATTCAGGTGGCGAAGCACCCACCCTGCCTCGGAAGTATTCAACAATCCAGGAATGAACAGAGCCTGTGGATGGAAGAGAAACTGGTCATTCAGAATGGCCAGACATTCAAATCATGGGGTTCCAGGCAGCAGAAGAGTGCGATCGTGGGAGGATACCTGCATCAGATCGACAGGAACACTACCATCAGAGCTGCAATTCCGAGAAGAGTACTGACAGTCAAGAAGGAACTGAGGATCAAAGGCTTCGATGCCGAGCTCTTCAACAGAGTGCTCAAGAGATATGCTAGGAACAGAGGGAAGATAAGGGAGTTGACTGTGGAGCTTCTGACGAAGTAGGAATTGAAGAGGACTGGAGAGCCTACCTCTATCAATTTGAGCGGAGAGATATCCGTTCCCATTGAAGATGCGATTGCATCAGTTGTAACAGCAGGTGTAGGGATACTTAGTCATTGTCTGTATAAACAGTTTTTTTCTCTTTTTCGTGAATGGAGAGTACTCGGACTATTGCATAAATGTTGCTCACATGAGTGGTGGATTTTGGATAACAGAGAACATTCAGCCTTTTTTCTTAGTCCTTTTTGTAGGGTTATTAGATTGATGTGTCGTCAATGTATGAGCACTATGCCTTTCTGCCCTTTTCGACGTTCTTGCGGTTCACTGGGTAGCAGATTGGTTCCAAATGTGTGAGCTATAGAATATGCAGGAACAGGGTTGTAAGGCGTGGAGTTCATAACCAGTACTGTATAGCCTCTTATTGAGCAGGGATAATTTTGACAGCATTTGCTGCAGGAAGACAGAACCCTCCAAGGGCATACAGACAGTTTTTTGATGGACGGGAGTTCAGCTAAGTTTTGTAGGACTCGTACTACCGACTACCGGGATACGGCGACAATATTTGGACCTAGTATTTTGGAATTTTAGATTCTATAGCTTTTTTGAACAGTTGTTGGTAGGCGAAGGGTACGGGGCGTTCTCAGGTACCGCATATTTTGGGTCTGTTGGGTATGTCAGTGACATCTACGATATAAGGAAACGTGTACATAGTCAATGGCCTCTTTCGGGACTAACGCTCGATGTTGGCCGGAACAGTCCGGACTGCAAACGCTGATACGGGCGGGAGTGGGAACGCGGGCGAGTATGCATAGTTGGGGCGTGATGGTGGAAACCCCCCTGAAGAAGATGACGTGGCTGTCATCGAAACGCGGCGTCGGGAACGCCTTTTCCTACTGCGCATAATGCTTTCTATATGAGACGAGATGCTTTTCTATGTACCTGTCGAATGTACTCTGTACGTTGACCAGTTTCTTGATACTTTGTCGCTCTTGATGACTTTGTCACTCTGTTTGATGATGTGTCATTCTGCAAACTATACACAACACCCCTCTGACACCACCACCAAACTCTGTAAATATGACACCCGGTCTGAGACCACGGTCGACGGTACTTCGGTTGCCTTTTCGAACTGGGAGCGGTTTTCTTTGCGGACACTGTTTTTTTTGCCCATTCCATACTCAAAGGTGACATGAACGTACTTCCCTCAAAAAAAAGAAAACAGTACAGGAAACAGATGGCTCTGCTCGGCGTTTTTTTTTGTTTTTTGAAAAAGGATCAATCTTTATTTATATCAAAGCCGGGAACCAGGCTCCATGTCCAGCGCAGATCAAGTGTAGTATCTGTTCAGATCAGTTAAATATCTGATCGTGGTCCATCAGAGAGTAGCGGTTAGTGAAAGACCCAAAATTCGGGTTTTTTTGCCATATCACCTATGAAACACCCGCGGCCGCGGTCACCACGGGCACGACCGCAGTCCGCGGCCGCGGTCATGACCGCGGCGACTGCAGTCTGCCGCGGCCCACAGCGGCCGAGGAGAGAGGGGGTTGGGGGTCGGGGTTGCGGATTGGGGTTCCGGAACCCTGACCCTACCCCCTTGAAAAAAAAGTTAAAAAAAAAATTTACGGGGGGGTCGTTTTTGGTGTGTGGAAATTAAAAAAAAATATATATATATGTAATGACCCGTCAATACACGGACTGAAACATACAGTCGATTTCTGATTTCTGCTCATAGGATGCATGCCGTACTAAGTTCCCTGCCTGTCGATGTGTTTGCTGGGTCTGAGTGCGTGCTTGTTTGTGGGTTGCATGACTGTGTGTGGCCTGCATGTTGTCGGAGTGCCTTGAGTGTGTGTGTGACCTGTATGGGTCTGTGATGGCTGGGCAGGCC